CTGGCAATGAAAGGGACCCTTCCTGAAAAAGAATATGACACATTCTTAGTCCTTGAGTCTTGGAATGCCAAATGAGCCAGGCTGTAGGATCCAGAACAAAATCAATTCTTCCTTGGACCCTTAATTCCAGGGCCCATGTCTTTGGGCACATTTGGTCCTCCCCGGCTTCAGCAATCCCAGGTCTCCCAAAGTGATGAGTCTATGAGGACTGGTATGTGGTTAGAGGTGGCGCGACACCTGGATGTGAGGACCGATATTGAGGATTTTCATGGGTTGTGGGTCTCTGGTTGTGCTGTGAGGCTGGGTGGAGGAGGAGCTTGGAGGACTTGGGAGTGAGAGAAGAGCAGAGCAGAAAGCTCCAGGTTTCTGGGCCAGCAGAGTGGCTGGCTCTGGGAATTTGAAGGCATCAGCCAAGCAAGACAGGAGCGAAGGATCTGCTAAGAAGCAGTGGGGACTCTTTTAATTTTGAGACAGGTTCTCAATAAGTTGCCAAAGGTGATCTCAAACTTGAGATCCTTCTGCCTCAGCCTCCCAAGTAAATCACAGGCATGCACCACTGCACCTGGCTGATGTCAGGGATTTGTGAGAATAGTAAGTTACTATCTGTAAAGTGCTTCAAACCATATTTGCCACGTAGTAAACACTATAAAGTTCTAAGACACAATCAATGTTTTCCTTCTCATTTTATCATCTGTATCAAATAAAATTCAGACTTTGTAGTTCCCGTTTTTCCACTGATGTCCTGTTTCTGCTCCAGGATCCATCCATCCAGGACACCACACTGCAGTTGCCATGTCTCCTTGGTCTCTCCTGGTCTGTGACAATTTCTGTCTCTTTGTCGCTTTCATGCTCTTAAAAGTGTGAAGAGTATCAGTCAGGTGTTTTATGGAGTATCCCCAGTTTAGAACTTAAATTGTCTGCTAGTTTTCCCTGTTAGACTGTGGCTAGGGGTTTGGAGAGGATTACCCAGAAGGAAAGTGCCTTTCTCATCACAACTCCAAATTGATTTTTATGGGAAAGAATTCTTTGGCTCCCTCTGTTTGGCTTTCCCTCAGGGTGGAGGAAAGGGAAGTCTGCGTGGCTGAAGGACAGCTTCAGCCAAACTAAGCTAAGACCTGCCCAGTCAGGGGACTTGGACCATGACCTGGGGCAGGGGAGGTGGTTAGAGGCAGACTGAGCAGGATCAGAAATTCAGCACGGGCCAAACCCCAGGAGAAGGCCAGGGGGTCCTAGGGGAGCCCCTTGGCCAGGCTAAGGAGGCTCAAGGAATAGGTTGTGGACAGAGGAGCCACAGGGGAAGAACCAGGAGGTGAGCCCTTCTTGTTGGACTGTCCTGAGGGGCCCCACTGGCAGAAACCCCAACAAAGACTTTGCCTCCTACAGCTCTGCCAGCCTGAGCCTAGGGTGCAGAAAGGTCAGGATCCTTCAGGCTTATGTTGTTCACTGTATGGGCCAATGCAGCCAAAGACTGGGGGTGGAGGGAAGTCCCCTGGAACCTGCCCTCCATGTCTGGATAGAGAAGCAGCACAGCCCTGGAAGGAAGCCTCTGGGAAATGCAGGGAGGATCAGAGCAGAGTGCCCCCAGGCACCTCTGTGCCAGCAGGGGACTGTCTCCTTGGGCTTGCCTTCCAGAACTGCCAGTGCTGTGGCTGGCAACCAAGCTGCGTTTGTACTCTTGATGACTTTTGTCAGGAATCCCAAACCTGTCCTGGATACAGGCACAGCTGGCGGCCTGGAACTGGGGGTGTGGGTGAGGTATGCCAGGGCTTTATTCACCTACCAGGGTTCATCTGCCCCTCCACTGTTTGGGCTCTGAGCTCTTCTGGTTCTTGCCCTAGTCTCCTTTTCTTCCCCTTTTCCTCAGGCCAGAAAGCCTTGGGTGCTATCAAGACCTTTTGGTTCCAGACAATTCTCCAGGGTCTCTGATTTGCCCTAGGAACCCATGGATGGAAAAGGGAGATGAGGGAAGGACAGACTAGCAGACAACTCTAGGCTTATTCTCCATACCAGGTCTCAGCTTTCTCATCTGTAAAATGAGGGATCAGAATCAGTTACTTTTATTGTATTATTATTATTATTATTATGCTGAGATGGAACCCAGGGCCTGGTGCATGCTAAGCACATGCTCTACCACTGAACCACATCCCCAACTCTTGCTCTTTTGAAATTTCATATTAATTGCATTAATGATTAATCTGTGGTCTATAGATTACATATAAGCTATAATCCAAATAATCTATTAAAGTAATAAAAGTCCAAGATAATTGCTCATGATCCCATTCTGAAATGACATGAATATTTGTGTTGGTTTCTGATGATTTCTAGTTCTTGTCCAGGTACATATTCAATTTTAATGTATAAATAGGAATTTATATTTAACATTTCAGTTAACATTACACAGAACACTGTTTTTTCTTTTGTTTTTCCTACCTCAACCTTCTTTTATTCCCCACTCTCCTCCGGCTGCAAAGTTCACAGTTTAGTTTGCACTCATAATGTACTGATATAGTACCCATATCACACATAGAATTCACATTTGAGAGGAGAGGGGTCGTGGCCTATTTTACAAAATTGAGACCATGCTACATACATTTTTCTGCAAACTGTTTTCCTCATTTAGCCATATGTTGTAGAAATCCATTCAGGCCAAGATAGAGTGCTAACTGATGCCCTTTGATAAGTGCATAATTCCATAAGATGAAGCTATTGCAATTGATTCAATCATTCTGTGATTGATGGGGACTTGGGTTTTTTCTAGCTGTTTCTTCTTCCCAACTAAAAACAATGCTGCCATAAACATTTTGAATAATAATACCTCTAGGAACAGTTACTTGCATTTCTACAAGTATGAAATACCATGGGTGAGATTGCTGGATAAGACTGCATAAGACTTAACAGTGTCCTTTTTCCCCAAAACAAGAATAAAAATTCACATCTACACAAGTAGTGCATGAAAGCCCCTGTCTCCCCACATCCTCACCAGCACTGGTAGTTAGCAGTCATTTTAATGATTGCCAGCCTGCTTGATGAGCAATGGCATCTCAGTGCTATTTTAATTTGCATTTTCCTGTTTACTAGCAACCTGGAGCATCTTTCCTTGTATTTATTGGCTTTCCAGATTCCTCTTCTATCCATAGCTATTCACACCATTTGCTTTTTTTTTCTTTCTTCTGGGTTTGTCTTTGCATTATGAATGTGTTGGAGCTCAGTGTAGGAATGTTTAACTTGCCTTTTGCGGGATGTAATGCAAATATATTTTCCCAGTCTATTATTTTTCGTTCAACTTAGTAGGGAATCTTTTTCCATACATGATGTTCTCATTTTATTTAGTCAGATATGTGTCTTTTTCTTTGATGTATGTATGTGTGTGTGTGTGTGTGTGTGTTTGTGGTACTGAGAATGAAACCCAGGGCCTCACATATGCTAGGCCAGTGCTCTACCACAAAGCAACATCCCCAGTTCTTTTTATTTTATTTTGAGGCAGGGTCTTGCAATGTTGCTGAAGCTGGCTTCAAACTTGCCATCTTCCTAAGTAGGTGGGATTATAGGCATGTACCACTGTGCTGGGCTAGATATGTGTATCATTCTTAATGACTTTTCAAATTCCTGTTTTGTTCTTAAAATCTCCCCAACATATACACTATAATCCTAAATTTCCTTTTGAATTTTTCCTTGCTTTATTTTTTTCTCATTTAAACAAAATCTCTCTGGAATTTATTTTGTTGAATTAAAATATGCTCCAATTTTACTTTTTTTCCAGGAGGATAACCAAATTCAATGTTTCCCATCTCCAAGCCTAGGGGATCCTAGGAGATAGCTAGGCAGCTACTAATATTGGGGTTGAGGGTGGGGTGTCTGGGAACTGATGTCAGACTCCCTGTCCCCCAACTACGGAGCTATTCTACATTTGCTGTTTTACAAAATGGGCTTCCAATAAAGATCTGATTTGGACAAGGTGTTCTTAAGCCTTAAGGAAGTCTGAAAACCCCTTTCAGATGATCTTTGGGGATCCTCCCAGGCTTGACACTCTCTGATTCCATAATACTAGGATATCAACCATTTAGTACAGAAGAGAAGGTGACAGGTCAATGGAACTTTATCCAGCAGTGACTTCAGCATTAACTCCTGAGTTGGCTCCAGGTGGATATCATACAGCACTTCAGAAACAGATGAGACCTTGCAAAATCATCTAGTCTAGTGCCTCTCAATCTTGGCTGCCTTTAGAATCATCTGGGAGTTTATAAAAAATTCTGGTGCCCTGGGCCCCTGCCAGACTACATGATTCAGAATCTCTGAAAATTATTGGAAAATTATTTTTAAAATCTCCTGGTGAGTCTTATGCAGCTAGGGTTGAGAACGACTTCTGTAGTTCAACCCTCTGAATTCAATAGTAAATATATTGAGAACCAGAAAAAGTGAATTCATATCATATAGCTGGCCAGCTATAGAGATGGTACTAGAACTAGGATTTCCATCTCCTGAGTTGGCCTTCCCATCTACATCAAACAAATCCCCCATCAACACCTTGGACTTTCCAACAGACAACACAAAGGGCTCTGAGCGCTATGTACATTTGCATATGAATCAGTATATTCTGGGTGAATAGGCATAAAGGACTTAGTGGGGAACAGGGTGGTAAAGAACTAACTATGATAAAAGATTGAGCAAGGCACATGGAAAATCCAGGGGTAGGAGCCCACTGCAGGGATGGAGGTGTGGAATAAGGCAGAGTGAGTTGACCAGGTAGGTCAGGTAGGCTCTGTGCAGGAGGTGGCATTTGAATAGGGCCTGTGGGTGACTGAAAAAGACTTGGATGGACAGAGAGTCAATGCCAACATTTCTTCCGAACAGCATTTGGCTGCCTTGGTATTACACAGAGGCTCAAAAGCCAGGGAGGGGGAGCAGCAAGGATTCCACGCAGGAATGCCTTAGTGTAGGGGGATCTAAGGTCCAGCCTGTCTCAGCCCTGTTCTGACCTTCTCCCTCCGCTCTGCCCACAGGAATGAAACCGTGCTGCATCAATTCTGCTGCCCAGCCGCTGACGCCGAGCAGAAGCCCTCCTGCTCTGACCTGGCCTCCCAAAGGTGGGACGTGGTGGCCCTTCCTCCCTTCCCCACCCCCATCTCTTTTCCTCTCAGAGCAGAGGGCACAGCACAGTGCTGTTTGGCCTCCTCTTGAGTCTTGTGTGGTTGTTTGTTTGTTTTTATCTCCTTCCCCATTCTTCCATTTCTCATTCTTTCCTCTGAGCCCAGATGAGTCATTCCCAATTTTTAAGATCATTACACCCTGCCATTCAAATTCCAAACCTATGCTCCTTCCTTCTAAACAGGTTGTATAAAGTTCAATTTTGCTAAACATCAAGGGATCTGACTTTGATTTTATATATAGATATGTATTTCACATGGCAGCGAGTCTGAATGTAGTGGGTACTTAACTCATTAACAGCGCCTGCCCATCCTCTATAACAAAGATTTTTTTATTTTTCTTTCTAATCTTTCTCCTTCCATAAAGGAGCCAAGGTCACTGACTAATTTTAGGGATTTCTCAACCCTCGGGAGTTGGTGACAACCTGGGAAGGAAGGGGGAGTGTTGACAAGGCAGGGTTGGTGTCACTACCGGGAGCTCTGGTCTTCATTTTTTCTGGGTCATTCCTGCTCCTGGGTCTCCTGTCTCCCTTCCCTGTAGCACATCATACCCTCATGCCCAGTCCTCCCTCCATGTTCCTCTCCATCTCTCTACCCCTGTGTTTCTCCATCTCTCCTTTTCTCTGCCCAAGTCAGTGCCCCTTCCCATTGCACTTTGATCTACTCTCAGTCTCTTTAACTTTGTTTTGGTCTCTTCTTCACCAGTTTTTCTGCCTATTTCTCCACATCTCTTTTTTCTTGACTTGTTCTTTACTTTGCTTGAATTCTGGCCTGACATGGGCCCTGTCACCAGCTTCCTGATGTAGGAATGACTTTGGGCAAGTTATTCAACTCCCCTGGGCCTTGGTCTCCTTATCTGTGTAGTACTGGGGGTGGGGGTGAGGGCTGGTCTGCCTGTCAAGAAAGTAGCACTTAAATAGAACCTAACTGATTTCCCAGCTGTCCAGGGAGGTCAGGTGAGGCAGGTTATTGTCCCTGCCTTATGTGAAAGGGTCAGAAGACTCAGGGATTTGTCCGCAGGAAGTACCTGTGCCTGCACTTGAACTCAGAGAATTTGGCTCCCAATGTTCACCATTTTCACTTTTAATATTCAATAATCCTATCATCTTTCTCTTTTTATTCCATAGAAAATATCTAGATAGTTTTCAGAAGTGGTGCTATTGACCTTCACGTTACAGACATTCACCCCCTAAAATTCAATGCTACTTGTTTTCCCTCAAGGGGAAGCCATCAAAGGTTAGAGAAAGAGACAGTACTCTGACAGAGACTATGGGCGGTGGGCCCAAAAGAGGGTCACTACCTTCAGGGTCCTTAAATCTAGGACCGAGGGAGGGATGGGACTCCCTGAGTCTGACCAGATTGGAAGATGGGAGGCCAAAGGGAAGGACCAGTCTCTGTGCCAATGCTCTGGGTAGTCTCCTGGCCAAGTTTTGGGTCAGACCCAGGGACAAGACTCAATCATTAGGATTCCCCAAAGTGAAAATTTCTCACCTAGGAATTAGAAGGAAGAAGAGAAGTGGTAGAATGAACTAGTAGAAGAGGAATGAAGACAAAGAGTGGAGCTCTGGCATGAGAGTGGAAGGAAGAGGCAGAAGGGGCCTGGTTCCTTCTTGTGGGCTGCCAGTGTTCAGACACATGGCCCAAGTCTCCTTCCTAGAGATCTACTTCCTTGGCAGGGGAGGAGGAGTTTGCCCCCACCCCCAATCCCACCCCATTAGTTCAACTCAACTCAATGGACATTTTCTTGATGCTAAGGAAGCACCAGGCTTCAGTGAGGTTGAATGACTTCCACCCTCAGGAAGCTCAGGCCTGGGCAGGGGCAGGCAACAGAGAGCCTCCCTTGGGTTTGCCGTGGTCTTTTCTCTGGTTCACTCCTACCCCTCAGGTTCTTCCTTGTGGCAGAACTCTGCCTGCCTGCAGCCCTGGCTCCAAGTGGGAAGGGGTAGGAGGAACCAGCATGCCCAGCCTTGGAGAAGATAGGCACGTGGAAGGTGGGGCAGGGGAGAAGTGCTGCCCTTTGGAGCCAGGGCTCCAAAGAACTAGGGTTGATTCCAAGGTTTGGAGTGGATGTTAGGAAATCCTTTACCTTATTTCCCAAAAGGTTGGTTGTTGGTCTTCCCCTTAGGCATGCAGACGCTGAGGTTGGGGCTGGAGGGGCTCTGGGGAAGGAGGGTGGGAGGTGGGAGATGCTCTGGATTGTTCATGGAAGAGCCTGAAAGCCCTGCCCACTGCAGCCTCCCCTCCACGAGGGACAGGGAGCCTGGCCTTCAAGATGGCCCAGGGCTTCAACTGCTGTCTGTCTCTGGTTCCCAGTTATTCCAAGTTGTCCTGTTTGTCTGTATGGTTTGTAGTTTCCTAGAGCCTGTTTTTTTTTTTTTTCTGTCTGTCTGTCTGTCTGATGTCAGTTTCTCCCCTTCTTGGGAAGAGGACTCCTGGATGTTTCTGAACAACCCAACAGTACATGTGTCAGTTGGTCTGTCTATTCTTGACTTCCCTGGGGGAATTCCATCCTAAGGAAAGTTTTCTCCCACCAGACTCCTGCTGTATTCCTGCTCCCAACCTTATCAAAGACCCCTTCACTACCCCTTCTCCCTTCTCCTGAACCAGGTGTCCCACCTCCAGACAGGGTAGCCCAAACTTCTCCAAGGAGTTCATCTAGAGGGTGGGGGGCTAGAGCAGGTGTAAGTGGGTCACAGAGGCCCCTGGGCATCCCCTGGAACTGTGAGACAAGCCAGGCTCCTCCTACCAGTCATTCTGGCTTCCTACCAGCTCAGTCAGCCATCAGCCAGGTCACGGACTCCTCTGAGGGTTTCTAGGGATAAACGAATTGACCTCTACAGGAGATCTCTATAGGGAATTCCAAACCAATCAGTCAGATCTCAGGGCCTTTGCTATGTGGATCCAGGAAGTTGTGGGAGCTCCCTCACCTTCTCTTCCTCTGCACTATGATTAAGGCCATGGTCAGTCCAAGTTTGCCAGGTGTCTGTCCCATCCCTGCCCTCACGTCAGGCAGTGTCATCCCTTGGGGATAGCTTACCTATCTGATCAGCTGCTTTAGCCTAAGTTCAACCCTCAGCACGGAGGAAAGACACCGGGACCTAGAGAGACCCTCATGCTCCTAAAGAGGCAGAGAAGTCTCAGCCTAGTGTAGGGTAGGATGGCATTGCTGGGGGATGGGACAGACTTCTCCACCCACCTGCAGAGCAGCGTTGGGGACTGGTACAGGAGAAACTCTTATTTACCAGGGAGAGATGTCCCCTGGCATGGGAAGACTTAAAACTGAGCAAGTCTGGAAGCCTGGGTGTCCTTGAAATGGAGCTGAAGCTGGGCATCAGGGACCTAGGTACAACAGAGCCGCTGTGGTCTAGCAATGGGCTCTGAGGCTGGATCTCCAGTTAGGATTATCATGGGCTCCCTTGAGCCTGGTTCCCCACACACCCCATGACTAGGGGTAATTAGCCCTCAGGTGGGAGCTGGGAGTTGGGGCCCCTTGCAGTGGGGGAGGGGGTGGGTAGGCAGCAACTGCACTCATGGTTCTTTCTCCCAGAGGTTGGGGAGCAGGTGGGGCCCCTTCCCCACCTCCTCCCCCAGTGCTAGCTAATGACAGGGCTTTATTCTGGGGAGTTGAATAGGCTTGTAATTGCAGCCCTACTTTTGATACCACAGGGCTCCCCTCCCTTTCAGGCTCTCAGTGACATTCGGAACAATGACCAGGGAGCTGGCCAGCCGCCTCCCAGCATCAAGCAGAATTGCAGCCCATTTGTCTCCGTGGGTGGTAATGGGGCTGAGATGAGGAAGATTGGCTTCTATTAGAGTAATGGGAGGAGGCGGCAGGAGGAGGGGGCGGGGCAGGGGAGGACACAGAGCAACCAACCCCTAGTTGTGGGGAGAAAGAGGAGACCTGGAGTCAGGGGGTGCCCTGGGACCCAGCAGCCTGAACTGCTTCCCTTCCTTCTGGTGCTAGCTCCTTCCTTTCATTCCCCACCCTTCCTCCAGGATGGAAGAGACGCTAATATGTATTGAGCATGCCAGGAAGGCTGTGCTAAGCACCCTCCATATTTTATCTCCCCTCATTCTGTGAGATAGATGTGATTCTCCTGTACAGATAAGCGATGTGGGATGGAGAGACATTGGGTATCTTGACAGAGGGACCACTGCTAATCGGATCTGGAGCTGGAAATTAAACCCAGATCTAACTTCAAAACGCAACCTTTTTCCTGCAAAGCTGCTATTGGATTTTTTTTTTTTAAGAACTCAAGAGAAATCCTTCCAGCCATTTCATTTGGTTTCAAATAACATCTATTTCCTCTGATTATTAGTTATACATGCTAGTTGTTGGAAATGTGAAAAACACAGAAATATAAAGAGGAAAATAAAAATTGAATCCATTCATATAAAATTAACTACAGTTAATATTTGAGGATGCAAACTTTCAGTGTTTTATTTTTCTATGATTGGGTTTTACATTTTCCCAGCACTTAAAAAAAAAAAAAAGATTTTATAGCCTGCATTTCCCACTTGGTATACTGTATCAGTCTGGAGAGCCTTATTCTTAAAGTGTCCCTCCTGGACCCCCACTTACCCTGGTGACACACCCAGCTCATGCCCTCACCTGCTAACCAGCAATGTCTGCAGTGTGGCTCCAGGCTCTGCTGGTGGCTGCAGCTGCTTGATGCCCTTAAGGAAGGGGCATCCTTCCAAGAATGGCTGTCGGGGGAGCCTGGCATTAGCATGGCCAGAGCATCCATTCCGCCTCTCCTCGACTCACCCTGCTGGCTGTGATGGGCCTGAAGCATGATCAATGGACCAGCCAGTGTTTACTCAGCGATTACGGAGCAATTAAATTCCCAATCGATACAGTTTAGTCCTCAAACAGCTGGGCTGGGGCGCTTCTGCGTCACCTGCCTGCTTCATTAGTCACTCTGAGGCTCAGAGGCTGC